TAATTTTGTTTATGATACATTGTATCTTATTAAACATTATTAATTCAATTCAGGTTATTGCATTGGATATCCACATAATCACGTGGTTTTCACACCTGTACATCTTACCAGTGATTGACCGAACTACTCGGTAGTGAAGCGGACGCAAAACCTATCAATCAAGCACTGGACACAGGTGTGTTTAGTATTTTGTACCTGTCGCAAATTTCACACCTAAGCCGGCTCAAGGAGTGGATCGAGATGCTTTTCATTATTGAACAAAGATGTTTAATTATATCTAAGTCCGTGGCATTACACATCAATAAGTACTGTATTGAATAATATCAAATGTGTAACTGTCGGTATTTTGTTGTTTATTTGAATTTTCGACCTAACATAAGGACGACACAGTGTCGTCGATTTGTCATTAAACGGTAATACCGAAAATATGCTATACGTTTTATTGACATTCAAACACAGAAGACACCAACGTTGAAGTTATTTTGTAAATATTTTTACTGATACATTTCCGTATATTTGGACCGTAGCGGTACAGTAACTTTGCAATATATATAATCCGGCACAGAAACAGATCACGTAGTAGTGCTGTTCAACGACGACATGACTGGCGGTTGTGTACACAGCATGCACCAGAGTGTGACGAGAATTACGGCCCGTGATATTCTTGTCAATCAAACAACAGCGGAGCATCGACAAGAACATCAACCAATCATCGCGAGGGCCCACCTCTCTACCGCGCGTGATTGACAGGTATATCAACCAATGAAACGGTGCCATTTTCGTGTAAGATCAGTGCACAGAACTTATCTTAACACCTACTGTATATCAATTACATCATTCACACGGCAATATATTTTATCTATATATGTATATGATAATGATTACTAATACTACTGGAACTATGAGTAAAATGTACTGATACCTAACATATTACGTTAATACAGAGAAGGTCTCTGGTTATGATATAAAGGAAACCAAAACAAAATACCTTTAGTTTATATATTATTCTGATTGTCATGGTTGACCTGAAGCGGAAACGTATATACTACTTACGGCTTTATATGTCTCTGTCTGAAGACAGGTAATACAATATTCAATATTAATTCTGATAATTCATATATTTAACAACCGGATCACGCTTAGCCTTTTATATAAGAAGTTTCATAGGTTCTAAATTTTAGTAATCACAGGTTCGTTAGACGAGAGCAACTGTTTAGACTATACACCAAAGTCGTATATATTGTAATATAACGTCTCTGGTTAAGAATAATGCTCTATTTTTTTTCTCTCTTTACTTTATACAGTTTTGATAACTGACATACGGATGCACATTATCTTTCTGAAATGGTTAAGTTCGCTTTAAATGAATAAAGAAACAAGATATTTCGAAAATTTCGTTCACTTTAAACACATAAGTGTACGTAACTTAAATGGTATTTTTTCTAATGAAAGCCTTTGTGGAGATCATTGTCATTATCACTCGAAGTTTCAACAACCCGGGAGCTTACATTGCTGTTTTAGGAAGTTAACAGGAGTACCTCGGATACCAGATGTGTAACTCATTAGTGTATTCATGCAAAAGATACATTGTTGAAATGTAAATATACATTGTTGAAATTCATACATTCCGATGACGTCACGTTGTTGACTGACAGGACGGCTGGATTGTGTGTTCATTTACATACGTTTACTTTGATGACATAAATGGACGCGTTTTATGTAAAGAAAAAGGCTATAAATATAAGGATTAACTTTCTATTCAATTTAGGTTATCGGGTGATAACTACAATGGAACCCGGGTAAATTATTTTTTCTTTATCACCCGATAACCTAAACTAAATAGAAAGTTCAACCTTAAATATTATAACATGAAACATTAAATCAGAAGGGATATTCTTACGACAGTACAGGAAAGATAAAGTTCCATTTAATTGAAATTATATCAGTAATGATTAAAAAAACACCAAAATATGAATAAAATACATTTATGTTAAATACAATAGAAATTAAAAGCTGAGAGGACAGGTGATCGGGAATCTCCTTACTAAGAGGATTATATAAATCACAAAACTATTAACAACATAAAAAACGATTGAAAGGTATATGAAGCAAAATAGGAACGTAAACTGTCTTAACATATATATATATATACAGTGGTTCGTTTATGAACATTTACCTCGGACCGAACGGAGCCGGGGGATATAGTTTACGTAATATAAGTTGTATACGACATCGGGACGTACTTATCATTCGTCATTAAATATCGTTAATATTGAGAGTTCATATTGTGTCTTTGATTATTATATGAGTGATCAGAGACGTATATACTGGCTTCATGTGTCCCTGGAGTGATGTATCAAAGCACCAGTTCAGCAATACGGTAAAAGTTATGCATTATTCTCAAATGGTCGTTCATTTCGATCCTAACCCTGGCCGTAGTACAAAATAAGCATTATTTCCTTGGTCTTTATTTATTTCATTCGAAGTAAATATAAGTGTACTATCGACCTGTGTTATTATATCGTTTTGATTACGGAATTAGAGCAACCGTCGTTGCATAGCTATACCGACAACACGGCCAGCAAGGCAGGGACTATAGACTGCCTCACCTGTACGGGCTTCGCCGGAGCGCGGCTACATCAAAGGGAATACCGCTGTGCGAGTGAGCGGGACAACGACTTAATTTTCGGGGGCCAACGACCAGTTTTCGGGAACAAAGGCACAATCTTATTGAATTGTTATGTTCCTGAAAATTGGTTGTTGTCCCTGAAAATTGGTTGTTGTTCCTGAAAACTGGTCCATGTCCCGACAACTTGGATATGGTTTTTAAATTTAAATGGTGCTCCGCTAATTTGGAGAGTGTTTCCGTAATTTGGGCCATGCAAATATGATTTAGATTGTACATCATTAAGTTAGCCATGCATAGATTATTTAGCTGGTACGTCATTAAGTTGGGTCATGAGTTTATGATTTAGATTGTGTTTTGTAAAATTCAATGCTAATTGAAGTTTACTGGTATATTAAGGTAGATTAAGTCGTAGAATTGATTGTTTCGTCCTTAAGTGTTTCTCAGTGCATTTAAATGCCGTTTTCAGACACCGCGACCAGAAATTACCCGAAGTAATACAATACCTGATCACAATGCCGAAACAGCAATCTGAGTGCATTAATCACTTCTGATGAAAGACAGAGTTTGTTACATTTTTACCAATGTTTGCGTCCTAATAGGGCTTTCTTATATAGGGTAAAACGACGTTCGTTTATTTTCGATATTTCTTCTGCATTTCTTGTTGTTCTTGATCATATGCTCATAAAAGAACCATTTGATAATAAAAATTGTGCCAATTGTTTTTACATATATAGAAGACTTTTATCTTTTGATTATACATTGTATTTGATTAATTGGTTCCTACATGGCGCCCATCGGAGTTTTGAGTTAATCTTTTTTTTTTTATTTGGCGAATGAAGGCGCAAGAATGTACTTAGGATTACATTGTGCCTAGGTATGTTATCTGAAGTCTCAAATGACCAGCTATACATGTACAAATTAAATTTATGATGCTGGGTTTATGGACCTTATGATAGATAATGTCTGTAGGTAACGTTATAATCCTTGTACATGGATTATGTAGATATGGGGCATAACTATAACCTAGCAAAGACATACTGGCAGTACGGCTAGAGGACGGCTAGCGATTGTACAGTTAGATACAGCTCCGGTATGACTGAGAGCGAGTCAGAACGACAAAGACCAATCCTTATCGGCCATCGTAAAGCGACAGATGGGGTTCGAATATTTTAAGCTAATCGAGTCGATTTTTATCTCATTGATTTGAATGGATAGAAAGTAATGGGCTTTCCGGGCTATATATAATATACATTAACATATCGTAGTTATTTAAAACAATCGCCCATCGTTGGATTCAGTTAGCTGCTTATTACCTCAAGTAAACACAATTTTTTTTTTTTTCCTATCTCGTCCGATCTGTCTGGTACCTTTACGTGACCTTTTGCGGATTTTTTACACAACGCCGTATTCATCCACGCATTGACGACTTGAAATTGACAATATGCATTATACATATTCTGTTTTGTGGTTATATGTATTGTTTTGATGTACATAATGTAGTTAGATATCTGATGTTGTTGATACAACACGTCGTGTTTACATAATCTACGGGAGGTTATAGAATTTCTCGCTACCTTATTTATGTTTTCCCTTTCAATTCACATGATTTCACGTCTTCAAGATGAAAATTTGTGCAAGCTAACCAAAGGATATGCGATAACACCAGCATGTTTCATAAATGTTTCATGATGTAGTATTGTTTCATAGTGACAATTTATTTTTATTATGTTTTGTGATATGTTTTTGTCTTTAAAAAGGCCCGGATTACCCTGAAAATTTGACAATTCTTTTTTTGTACTTTCGTTACTACTTATTTGTATATAAGTATAGAGGTAAAATTGTTAAGCGTACATTTGATCGTAGAAATATACATAAAACAAAACCTCGAAGACTAAATCTCGTTAGTACCTTCGTCCATCTTGGAAACATCTATGCCTTTATTTCCTGAAGAGCCCCAAGATTGGCGAAAGTACAAGCGAGATTTTGGTCTTCAGTGTTTTGCTGTACATATGTTTATGGGCAAAAAAGTAATAACGACATTGTAGAAAAAGAAAATTGTCAAATATTCAGGGCAATCTGCCCCTTTATCAAGACAGGAACATGAAAATTTACATATCACAACATGGAACAGTCATCATGAAACAACAATAAAATAGAAAATATATAAACAAACAGTAGATACTTAAATGAAATATTCTGTTGTGATTGCATATCCCCGAAGGCTAATTATAGTAAATAATTCATCTTGAATACGAGAGTTCAAGATAATTAATATTAAACATCTAAATAAATGAAGCGATAATTTTTTTATGTAATTGTTGTTCGATTACATATATATGTATATATAAATGCGCTTTCATTTTACATTTACCCTTTTTCACTTCTTCATTTATTTCACTAAGAAATTGGCCCAAATCGAGCAGCTGAACATCAAAGTCTCCAGATGCTGCAAATAGATTGTAAAGTTTTAAAAATCCAAACAACATATATATTGATGTAATTGACATTATCAAACAGTAACACAACCATTGACACGTGGTGTTAAACAGTAACACAACCATTGACACGTGGTGTTAAATAGTAACACAACCATTGACACGTGGTGTTAAACAATAACACAACCATTGACACGTGGTGTTAAACAGTAAAACAACCATTGACACGTGGTGTATAATAGTAAGACAACCATTGACACGTGGTGTTAAACAGTAACAGAACCATTGGCACGTGGTGTTGAATAGTAACACAACCATTGACACGTGGTGTTAAACAGTAAAACAACCATTGACACGTGGTGTATAATAGTAACACAACCATTGACACGTGGTGTTAAACAGTAACAGAACCATTGGCACGTGGTGTTGAATAGTAACACAACCATTGACACGTGGTGTTAAATAGTAACACAACTATTGACACCTTGTGTTAAACAGTAACACAACCATTGACACGTGGTGTTAAACAGGAACACAACCATTGACACGTGGTGTTAAAAAGTAACACAACCATTAACACGTGGTGTTAAATAAAAACACAACCATTGACACGCGATGTTAAATAGTAACACAACCATTGACACGCGGTGTTAAACAGTAACACAACCATTGACACGTGGGGTTAAACAGTAACAGAACCATTGGCACGTGGTGTTAAATAGTAACACAACCCTTGACACGTGGTGTTAAACAGTAACACAACCATTTACACGTGGTGTTAAATAGTAACACAACTATTGACTCCTTGTGTTAAACAGTAACACAACCATTTACACGTGGTGTTAAATAAAAACACAACCATTGACGCGTGATGTTAAATAGTAACACAACCATTGACTAGTGTTGGTAAACAGTAGCACAATCATTGGAACGTGGAGTTAAATAGTAACACAACCATTGACACATGGTGTTAAACAGTAACAGAACCATTGACACGTGGTGTTAAATAGTAACACAACTATTGACTCCTTGTGTTAAACAGTAACACAACCATTAACACGTGGAGTTAAATAAAAACACAACCATTGACACGTGATGTTAAATAGTAACACAACCATTGACTAGTGTTGTTAAACAGTAGCACAATCATTGGAACGTGGTGTTAAATAGTAACACAACCATTCACACGTGGTGTTAAACAGTAACACAACCATCGACATGTGGTGTTAAACAGTAAAACAACCATTGACACGTGGTGTTAAACAGTAACAGACCCATTGGCACGTGGTGTTGAATAGTAACACAGCCATTGACACGTGGTGTTAAATAGTAAAACAACTATTGACACCTTGTGTTAAACAGTTACACAACCATTGACACGTGGTGTTAAACAGTAAAACAACCATTGACACGTGGTGTTAAACAGTAACACAACCATTGACATGTGGTGTTAAACAGTAAAACAATCGTTGACACGTGGTGTTAAACAGTAAAACAATCATTGACACGTGGTGTATAATAGTAACACAAACATTGACACGGGGTGTTAAACAGTAACACAACCATTGACACGTGGTGTTAAATAGTAACACAACCATTGATACATGGTGTTAAACAGTAACACAACCATTGAAACGTGGTGTTAAATAGTAACACAACCATTGATACATGGTGTTCAACAATAACACAACCATTGTCACGTGGTGTTAAATAGTAACACAACCATTGATACATGGGGTTAAACAGTAACACAACCATTGAAAAGTGATGTGAAATAGTAACACAACCATTGATACATGGGGTTAAACAGTAACACAACCATTGAAAAGTGATGTGAAATAGTAACACAACTATTGACACGTGGTGTTAAACAGCAACACAACTATTGACACGTGGTGTTAAATAGTAACACAACCATTGACACGTGGTGTTAAACAGTAGAACAACCATTGACACGTGGTGTATAATAGTAACACAACCATTGGCACGTGGTGTATAATAGTAACACAACCATTGACACGTGGTGTAAAATAGTAACACAACCATTGACACGTGGTGTTAAACAGTAACACAACCATTGACACGTGGTGTTAAACAATAACACAACCATTGACACGTGGTGTATAATAGTAACACAAACATTGACACGTGGTGTTAAACAGTAACACAACCATTGACACCTGGTGTTAAATAGTAACACAACCATTGACATGTGGTGTTAAACAGTAACACAACCATTGACACGTGGTGTTAAACAGTAACACAACCATTGACACGTGGTGT